TATTAATTATTTAATAAAGCTTTATTATATTAAGTTATTTATAAATTTCTTTTAAATATTTACTTCCTTTTAAGGTTTATAGGTATTAGATATATTATTTATATTTATTATATTATATATATTTTAATTTATAAATGAATTAACTTTGTTTTTATAGCTTTTATTTAATAAAGTGCTTTTTCTTTATATATAACCTTTTTAAGTTAGAGGGCTTATCTATTCTATTTATAGTTAGTATATATAGGGTTTTATATTATTTTTAATATTATTATTTAATTATTTAATAGTATATCCTTTATAATATATAAAGCTTTATATTTTATAGAATCCTTTCTTTTAATATAAAGTAGTAATTTATATAGGATTTTATTATATTATTATTATTATTATTATTATTATTATTATTATTATTATATAATTCTATTTTCTTATTTTCTTTAAATATAGAATTATTATTTTTATTTATAATATATTTACTTTTAAAATATTTATATTTTTAATCTATATTATTTTATTATTAATATATATTTTATATATTTTATTATTTTATTAAAGTTAATTAATACCCTTTTTTATTTTAAGGTTTAGTTTATTTTTATCTTTATTATTATTATAATATATTATAGATTTCTATAATTTAATATAATTTATAAGTAAATTATAATTATATATTAAATTATATAAAGTTTTCTACTTTAAATCTTTTAAAGTATAATATTATATAAATATATACTAAATATAATAACTTCCCTTATAACTTATAAAGTAAATTAACTTATAATAATAAATATCTTATTTTATTTAATATTATTAAATTCCTTCTTTTATAAAATTATTAAATTCCTTTATATAAAAAAGTATTATTATATATAATATTATTATTATTTAATATTATTTTAAATTTTTATTAATATATTTAATATTATTATTAATATTAAATTCTTTTATTTTTATTTATTTTATTTTTATTATATTTTATATTTATTAAAAATTCTAATATTTAATCTTTAAACTTTAATAGGTCTATATAGATATTTAATCTTTTATTTAAAATAATATATAATATTTATAATTATTATAAATATTTTTAAAAGGATTAACTATATTATTATATATTCTTTTAATATATTATAATTATATAAATTATTATTTATATTTATTTTAATATTATATTTAGTTCTTAAATATATATTATATTTATATAATAGTATTCTTATATCCTTTTAAAAGATTTAATATTTATATTATTATTTTTAATATTATAAATAAAGAGTTTATATATATATACTTTAATTTATAATACTATAAATATATATTTAATAAATTTTAATTAATAATTAAAGGAGGGTTTTTACTTATATTTAATAATTATTTATTTTATTTATATTTATATAAGTATTTATTTTAATATAAAATAATTTATTCTTATAATAGTTTATAGTTTCTATTTTATTAAAACTTTATTTATTATTTTTACTATAATATTTATAAATATTATATTATATATATACTTTATAATTTTAAAACTAATATATTTATATTAAATTTTAAAGTATAATATATATTATTTAAAATTATATCTTTATTATTTATATTTATTTTAATATCTTTTATTTTAATATTTATTTTATTAATATTTCTTTAATTGATATTAATATTTATATATTTAATATTATTTAAAAGATTTATATTTTTATAATAAATATATTTATATATATATTTAAAGTAAATTCTATTTTATTTATTTTTAAATTACTTTTATATATATTATATTATTTATATAGTTTAAAGTTTTATTAATAATATTATTATTATTAAAATTTATTATATATAAAGTATACTTTTATATTTTCCTTATAATTTATATTTTATTATAATAATTTTATAAATTAAATTTAAATAATTTTTCTTTTAAATTAAAAATTTTTATATTATATTTATTTCTTTTTCTTTATTTCTTTATTACTACTTTCTTTATTTATTTTATTATAAATAGTTAATAATTTATTTTAAAGAAATTTTTTTCTTTATTATTTTTAAAGTTTTTAAGAATTATTATAATTTTTATTAATTTTATTTTTATTTTCCTAACTTTTAATACTTTTTAAAATAAAAAATAGTAGTTATTTTTAATATAACCTTTATTTTATAATAAGTATATTATAGTATATTCTTTTATTTTTTATTTTTATTATTATTTTTAATAATAAAAGTATTTTTATTTTTATTTATTTTCTTAATTTATTAATAAAATTAAAGAATATATTTTTATATTATAATTATTATAATCTTTTATAAACTTTAAATAATATTTTAAATAAATTTAATATATTTATTATTTAATAAGTTTAATATTTATATTATAATTATTTAATTTAATAGGTTTATATTATTAGTAAATAAATTTATAATTATTAAATTAATTTTATTTAAATAATCCTTTATAATATTAAAATTATTTAATAAAGTATTAAAAATCCTTTTAATAATAAATTTAATAATAAATTTAATAGGTTAATATAAATTTTATAGTTTTTTATATTATTTTAATAGTTTCTATATTTTTATATATATAAGTAAGTTATTTATTATTATAAGTTATATATTAGTTAATACTTTTAGTTTTTTTAAATATTAAATTCTTAAAATTATTATTCTTTTAATAAGATTTTCTTTTAATAAAAAACTTAAATTTTAATAGATTATATAATATAATTTAATAAACTTTTAATTTAAAACTTTAAATCTTTTAAATATAATTATATTTTATAAGTATTTTATAAATATTTTTATAAATTTATTTATATTTATATATATATATTAATTTTCTAATATTTTTATAAAATATATATTAATAAATTTTTATAAATTAATAAATATTATTTAATATAATTTATAACTTTATTTAATTTTATATTATAATATTTATTAAATTAAAATATAAATTAAAATATTTTTATAATTTTTAATTATAATTATTAGAAATAAAATATTTTAAAGTTAAAAATATTTTTAATTTAAATTTTTAATATAAAGGTTAATAAATTAATTATAATTATTAAATTTAAATATATTATTATAAATATTTCTTAATAAAGTAAATTTAATTTTTATATAAAGTATTATAAATTTATTATATTTATAAAGGTTGTATTTTAAAATTTATAAAGTAATTTTTAATATAAATATTTTAAAATATTTATAAATATAAAGTTAAAAGTAACTTTATTTATAAAATCTTTTATAATTTTAAAATATAAATATAAATAGATTTTATTTTATTTTAAAAGTAATTATAAAATTAAATTATAAGAGGAATATTTATAATTAAAAGGTATTTAAATATAATATAAAGTTTTCTTATTTTTTAAAATAAAATATAATTATAAAATATAAATAAAATAAGGATTATAATATAATATTTTTATAAAATAACTTTAATATAAGTTTTATAAAATAGTTATTTTTAAATAATTTTATATATAAAAGATTATATAAAGATTTTAAGAGTATTTTATTAAATAAAGTATAAAAAATATAAAGATATTTTTATTATTTTATAAATATAGTTTTATTAAATTATAAAGGAGTATTAAAAGTAGTTTTAAATATATTATTAATAATATAAATAAGAAGTATTATATAACTTTTTTTCAATTAATTATAATAAATTATTATTATTTTATTTAAAAAGATATTAGTTAATTTAATTAGAATTAAAGATTTAAATTTTATAACCTTTAAGAATTTAAGTATAAATAAAATTAAATTCTAATTATTAATTAATAAACTTTTTACCCCTTTATTTATATATTAAATACTTTTATCTAATAAAGCCCTTTATAGTTTAATTATTTTTAGTAATTATATATATGAAAATAGTATTTCTTTATTAACTATTCGGAAGTGTATTTTTATAGAGCTTCGTCCCGTTTAGTGGAGGGCCGCGTATCTGGTTAGGCCGTAAGTCCATGTTCAATATAAACCTCTCTTTACTTGTCACGATGCATACTAACAGTTCAAATAGAGCAATATGCTCTTACTGGGGCTAGCTATCTGATTGTACGTATACTCGTGCTTCAACGATTTGAGAACATCGAGTGGCTGGGTGGACCAGATGAGCCAAGGAAGACGATTACCCTCACCATGCAGTCTAATACGGGGTCCCTGTGAGACTCAGCTACAACAACGTAGATGGATTGGAGGTATGAATAGGGCATTGGTATGAAGAGTCATGAAAGGATGGCACGGTGGTCGCTCCACCTTTCCAACACCATGGCGGGTTTCTCATCACATATCATGACGCAAAAGCAATTCATATGTGCTGTTGTGATCAGTATTTTACTAATGGGCAGGCGATTGAGACCCCTAGAGCTCTCGGCTAATGAAGGTCCTGTGATGGATATGGCCTGCTTATCGTTTGTATCTAGGTAGTAAGGGCCGGTGCTGGGTGAAGAAATTCTCGTCGAGATGGCCACGGTAGAAACGGAGACAAGTAGACGCCGGCTGGCAATTCGAGAGGCTTCGTCGTCGTTCAGTTGCGAGACATTCTAAGCTTGAGTTTCTGGACATGTAATTTCCTTGTCTTCAATCCTTAAACAACCTGCTTTGTCTAGATGAAGCTTCTTTGTCTGACAGCAACACAAGCAACAAGGCCATTGTACATGCGGCTGAGAGCTCTTCTGTGGGAAAGGGGGCTCTCCAAGCGTTTGGAAGCTGAAAACCAAAGTTTAGATCTAAAACATTAGATTCTTTCATGTCGGCAGTCAATTCGAAGGTCAAAGAAATATAACACGTACCTCATTCTACGTGTACGGGGGATCCTCTCACCAAACATATAAGGCTCGCACCATGATGAGGCTCACCATGGCCGTTGAACCACAACCAACTGCCCGCCATCTCAGGAACCCATATTCAAGTGCTTGTATAAAGGAGTCAGATTACCCACTACCAACTCAAAACTTCCAGCAAACCATCTCCCCACGCAAACAACAAGCAACATGAGCTCTGGCGCATCATCCTCCAAGCGCACGCCCGTGAAGAAGGCCGTGGAAAATGGTGCTCAACAGCTGCCCACCCCGCCGGGGACACCGAGGTCGTCCAGTGGCCAACGAGGCGTTCAGCCGCCGTTCCAGCCCCAAGATCAACAGCTCCGATACATGTCGTACCCAGGCTTGCAGCCCCGGGAGCCGCAGCCAGAACCGTATCAGAGCAATGGAAACAGGCGCAGACGCACCCAGGTTGAGCTGCAGATGGCCCACGGCATCGAATGGCTCGGCTACGGCGCCGTCATTCCGAATGTCAGCGTCGTGACGGGTGGGGCGCTTTTGGATGGGTCGCTGAACACGCACGGGACAAGGATCATGGGAGGCAAGGGCAATTACGAGGATGAGTTTGACGACGACGGTGATCTTGCGGCGAGGATGTCGATGTCTCTCACTGTTGGGGTCAAAAGGACCGCTGCCCAGGGCAGATAAGCCACGTTGTATTCCAGAAGAAGAAGGGTCGCGTGTATTTCTGGTGTTGCGACAAGAATTTGCCTTTTCTTCCAGTGTGCATTTCGCTTCAGAATGCGTGGTTCTGAGTGTCGCGGCCATCGTTTGTTCTAGTGGTGGTAATGGTCTAATAAAACTTTGGTCTACACTTTGTTCTATCCACGGCTCCCTATTGCCATTCCTGAATTTGTCCCTCTACCAGTAGTAACTCAATATCGTCGAGATCACCCAAAAAGAAATAAAAGAGCATCTCGCATACAGCCCAATTACAACATGTCTAGCATGTTTAAAAAAAAAAAAAACTTCTCATTTAAGTGTCAGGGCCATGGGCTGATCGCTCATAGGACCAACCAGTACCTAGGTAGGTCCGTACACCCTACTTATCTTATCAGCCCAAATAGCCTCCATACCTCTCGCAACGTGGGCTTATAGCTTCACTACTTCCCCTATACTATTCCTTAGGTAAGTCAAGTTGTAAATCAATAATTCTTTATAGATAATTTAAGACTTATTTTACTATAAGTTATAAAGACTATCTTATTAAACTAAATAAATTTTATTTATTATATATTAAATAACCTTTATAAGTTAAGTAGAATTTTAAGTACTTAAAAACTTAATCTTCCTTCTTTAAGTATATTACTTTATTATTAAGAATTTATCTACTTTAATGTTAACACATGAGGAATGTGGTGAAGGAGGTAGCCTTACGGGGGAACATCTAGCTGCTAACTCAGCTCGCCTCCCCCTCTCCCTCCCTCCCTCCTCCTCATTCCTCCCCCACTTATTTACACCTAAACATACTATGTTACATAGACTAGGCTCTTTAGTGTAATATAAACTGCACATGGTCCGGATGCCCCTGTTTTGTTCCGGATGGCAGACTTGACACGGAAGTGCTCAGACGACACCTACAGGAGCGTCACGGTCTTCAAGGCCATATCACCGTCAACAAGGTGTTTCAGATAGGCTTATGTATCATTGAACTTAAATTGTCTGTGTCCACTTGGTATATGATCGGCCACCCTCCAGATCTTCAGGTTCGCTATGTCAAGAGAAGCTCAACCCTTCAAATTTCGACTTTCATGTTCTCGAACAACCCAAGCTTCTCACGATCCGAACCAAAAATGTGCCTGGACAGATCGTCGAAGCATCCAAGCCACCGCCGCCGGCAAAAAGAGGAGACACATCCAAGAAGGAGAACGACCCGTTCACTTGAGCTGCCACAGGTAGAGGCATGCCGTCCGGAGGCTAATGATTTCCCCAATCATATGAGATACCCTGTTAGCAGCACATTAGTTGCCCGGCGTAACAGAAGTCGCCTAAAGCTCATGCATTAGTACCTCGGCAGGGAGACCACGGACATTGTTCCATTTACAATGCCTTTGTGGCTCTTTGTTTCTTTTGTTACGATATACGACTGAGCTGCAGCGCCAAGTCCAGCATATGAATAGTTAGGTGAGGACAATGGAAGGTGCAGACCATATTCTAATTACAGTACGCGTAATAACAATGCCTTTGTGATGTGCGTGATGTGTGTGATGTGCGAGGCCTTTCAGCATCTCTTTCGACTGTTCATTATAAATATAGGCGTAACAGAGTCACCCACTTCTCCTCGCAGTCTGCCTGTTATTTTATAGTTACCAACCACACACACACATACGCATCCACACACGGAAAGCCAAGTGTTGTGTTTTCACATTTACAAACGCCACAGCCTTCACCAACGCCAGTTCAAGGTTACACAATGGCTTCTCCATCATCCAACAACCCATCGCAGGGTGTTACATTTGGAGTTGAACTCGAGATGGCTGTACCATTCCTGTTCTTCGACCAGCCAGACCCTGCTGAAGGAATGGACATGAGAAAGGTGATTCGCGTCTCGAGAGAAACTAAAAGTCCCCGAACAAGTTTCCGAGAGGAGACTCCAAGACCAGAAAATATCTTAGAAGGCATTTTCAAGGAATTTCTCCGAGGTCATGGCCTTGCCATCTGGGACCCTACCATGCAAGGGAAGGCCGATCAAGCAATCAGCCCTCCCACAGGGTGGTTTATTGGAATCGATACTTCTATTCACGAATTGAAGTTCGCCCACTACAACTGGGTTGGTCTAGAACTACGGAGCCCTGCGATGCTGGCCAACGAGACTTCGTTTGCCGAAATCAAGCGCGTAGTCAGTCTGCTTAGAACTAGCTTCCGTCTGAGAGTTAACGAGACCACTGGGTTACACGTGCACGTCGGCCTTGGAGCTCAGCGTCTCCCTCCTCGGGCCATCATCCGCCTCGTGCAACTACTCTGGTGCGCCGACGGCACATTATCACAATTACACCCACCGGAACGTTTTCTTAGCCCATTCTGCCCATCCATCCGGCACGATAGCGTTCTCGCTCGACGTCTGTTGGACGACTGGAGAGGCACCGAGAATCTCACAGTAGGTGGCGGTCTGGCTATCACTCCCCTAACCGTGTCTGCAGCATTGACTGACCGGTTGAAAGCGTTGCTTCAAGCTCCAACTTCTTTCCCTGCGCTCGACTCGCGGCCAAATACCTCCCGTCTCCAGCGACTCCCGCCCGTGCGAACCAACCCGTATGAGGACGCCGGCGCCCAAAGACGTTATGGCATGTTAAACGTTTTTGGAGGAGGGCGACCGCACAGAGACTTCCTACTCATATCTCGACCTGCTGAGGGAATCACCGAAGAGACATGCCTGCCAGTGCTAGACGGCCTACGTGCTCTCTGTCGACCGGAAATGTATGAAAAAGCAACCCGGGCGGTTGATGAGATCCAGATCAATTCTATGAAGCGGGCCAATTACAACTGCAACGCTTATGGGTTCCAACACGTCGGCGGTCCCCCGATGCGGATGACGGTCGAGTTCCGCGAGGCGGCTGGCTCCCTTGACCCTTCCTGGGTGGCGGCGTGGGCCAGGATCACTTCCCGAATAGTCGAGTTCTGCCTTGAAGCTGAAGAGGATGAGTTCGTCGAGCTCCTTATGAGAGTCCTGGAGGCTGAGCTAGCGTTTGAGGCCAACGGGGGAGTCTCGCGCTACGATGTGGTTGATTTCCTCCATGACCTTGGCTTGCCTGATGAAGCCAGGTTTGTGGAGGAAAATATTATTTTCGGCGACAAAGCAAGCTTCTGGTTTCCGTGTGCTCTAAGCTGGAGTCAACTGGACGACCAGCCTGGTGCGACGATTATGATGCCAACAGAGTATGAGAACTGAATACTGATTAGAGCTCAGTCTCTGTTGTAATTTATATTGCATCCTTCCGGCCAAGTTGATAAGCTAAAGGAGACCTAGGTACAAATTGTCTATCTCAAGTTTTAGTAATTTCATTCCTTACCAGTCATTTACCTTTTCATGGTCACTCAATTATTATTGCTGCTCACTTAGGGTTATGGTGTGAGACCGAACTGATCTCGGGCGACGATGCTGTTCAAGTGAATGGGCAGAGTAGACAGAAAAATAGGAAAGACAAGTAAATAAGAACGTCCTCGCACCCTAGGATTGACTTTGATGAAAAACTCTCAATAACGTAATTTGTGTGACGCAGTCCTCGCTACTGCTTTCGTTGTTGGCAATGTCTAGCACGCCAATACCAACAACTCTGTAGGTCCTAGGCGGTACTTACCAAGTATGTAGTCAAGAAATCAATCTATGTACACTACAACTTAGGTTATCCTTCCACCGCCCGTCTTTAGCCTTACAAATATTTGTTATAGGGGAAATGAATTCCTTCAAACGTGTAAAAGAATTCCATGTACTACTAGTAGTGTTTCGTCATACTCCAACTAAACTAACAATATATGTGAACCGTCCAGCGGATGGGGACCCTCTATATGTGGCCATAAACCACCTGCCCCTTTTGTTTGATAGCCTCATCTCATCTCTGACCGCCATTGCCCCCACCATTTCTAGCATTTATGGCCGCCTGCTTTGCTCTTTTCTCAGCTTCCAGCCTTTCAGTCAACTTCCTCAACATCAGATTCTTCTTCTGATCATCCTCAACCTTCGTATCCAGCTCAGCTTTGCTGGGTAACTCCAGCACGGCCAGGGTAGCTGCGCTAGTTTTATTATTAAAGATTGGGTTAAAATAGCCCACATTACTTACTCTATCAACTTACCCATTAGATATAAACTCTTTAATACCCTTAACTATCCCTATAAACTTTATATAATTAATATATAATCTTTATAAAATTAATATAAAAGTAATTATTAATTTTATTTAAATAAAATAATTTTATTAAATAATTATAATTATTAATTAATATTATTTTATAATATTAATTTTTAAATAATTTTTATTTAAATTTATAATACTTTAAATAAATTCTTTATTAATTTTATTTAAATAAAAGAGTTTTATTAAATAATTATAATTATTAATTAATATTATTTTATAATATTAATTTTTAAATAACTTTTATTTAAATTTATAATATTTTAAATAAATTATTTATTATCTTTATTTATTATTATAATTAAAGTATTATTATTTTTATAAATTTAAATAAAATTAATAAAATTAATTATAAACTTTTTATAAATTATTTAATATTATTATTATATATATTAATTTAATTAATTTTATTATAATATATTAAAATTAAATTTTTATTATATATTATATATAATTATATAATAATATTTTATATTATTTATTTAATTTATTATTTTAAAGTTTTATTAATAAAATTATATTTTAATTAATTATATATTTTAAAACTTTTATTTATAATTATATTTTAACCTTTTAAATATAAAATTAAAAATCTATAATTATAAAATTTTAACTAATTTTTATTTAATTATTTTATTATATTAGAATTTAATTTAACTTTATTTAAACCTTTATTAAATTCTTTTAATATTTTTCTTTTAAAAATTAAATTTAAAAGAGTTTTTAAGTTTAAATTTAAAATTTTATAAATCTTAATTTCCTTTAAATTAAACTTATAATTCTTTAATTCTTTTAAAATATATTAATTACTTTAAATATTAATAACTTTTCTTTAAAATAAAGATTTACCTTTATATAATTATAAAGTTAATTATTAATAGTTATTTTTATTTATAATAAAAATATTAAAACTATAAACTTAAAGTAATAATAAAATATAATTACTTTATTTAATTATCTTTAGTTTAATAATATAATAAATTAAATAATTACTTTTAAGTAATTTTCTTTATAATATAATAAAGTTAATAAATAAATAGCTAATATTTATATACTTAACTTTAATATATACCTACCTAATAATTTTAATAAACTTATTTAATATTAACTTTTATATATAAAGCTTATATAAAACTATATATTTAAGTAGAATTCTTTAAATCTTTAATACTTTAAATATAAATCTTTTCTATATACTTTTAATATACTTTTAGTATATATTTAAAGTTATATATATTTAAAGTTATATATATTTAAAGCTATATATATTTAAGACTATATATAATTATATTAATTAAATATTTAAATACTAATTAAATATTAAAAGGTTAGAAGTTTAAAGTATTAAAGAGTTTAAATATATATAGCTTTAAATATATATTAAAAGGTATATTAAAAGGTATGTAAAAGGGTTTATACTTAAAATATTAAAAATTAAGAAAGGAAATTATATTATAAAGTCTTTTAATACTAACTTAGAAAGTACTTATAAATATATATGTTATTTAGAAGAATAGGTATTAAATAGGTTTAAGGAAATTATTAGATATATAGTTATAAAAGTTAAATAGGTAAATATTAATTTATAAATAAAAATTTATTTAAATAAAATTAAAACTTTAATTAAAAGAATAATACCTTTATTTTTATTTATTTTAACTAATTTATATTTAAATTATATAATAATCTTATATATAATATTTAATAATATTAAAATTAAATAACTTATAATTTATAATAACTTTAATCTTTAATATATTAACTTTAATAAATATAGTTTAATATATTAATATAAAAGTATCTTTAATAATTAATAATATTATAAATATAAATTATAAAGTTATTATAAAAGGTTTTATATAATAAATTTAATTAAATAAATCTTAAAAATATATTATAATTTATTTTAAAACTTTAACTATTTATATTTATTCTTTAATAAAATATATTATTTAATTTTATTTTATTTTATAAAATTTATTATAATAAAACTTATTTTAATATATTTATTTATAATTATTAATAATAATATTTTAAATTTTAATAATAATATTTATTTTAAAACTTTATATTAATTTAAATAAAATTAATAATAAAATAAACTTTTATATAAATTATAAAATAATATAAAATAATATAAATAATATAAACTATTTATATTTTTAATTCTATTATTAAATTAAAAGTAAATAGTTAAAGTTTTAAAAAATAAAATATAATATATCTTTAAAAATTATTTTAATTAAGTTTATTATATAAAACTTTTATAATAACTTTATAATTATCTATAATATTATTTATTATTAGAAAGTACCTTTCTATATTAATATATTAAATTATATCTATTAAAAGTTAAAGCTATTATAGACTATAAACTAATCTTAATACTATTAAACACTATATATAAAGTTATTATATAACTTAGGTAAGTTAGTTAAAATATATAAAGATAAAAGCTACTATTCCTTTAAGGGTTCTAGCTTTATTTAAGTAAATATCTATTTATTAGCTCTATAAGTAAAACTACTTAAAAGTAGTTATTTAGTTAAATTAAGAGATAATTAAGTAAAGTAATTATACTTTAATACTATATATAATATCTAAGTTTATAAATTTAATAGCTTTATTATAAAAAATAATTATTAATAATTAAATTTATAACTATATAAAAATAAACCTCTACTTTAAAGAAAAGTTATTTATATTTAAAATAGTTAATATATTTTTAAAGAAGTTAAGATATTATAAATCCAATTTAAAGAAAATTAAAATCTATAAGAATTTTAAACTTAAACTTAAAAACTCTCCTTTAAATTTAACTCTTTAAAAAATATTAAGAAAGCTTAAAAGGTTTAAATAAAGTTAGATAAAGTTATAATAATATAATATAATTAAATAAAAGATTAATTATATAATTATAATTATAAATTATTTAATCTTATATTTAAAAAGAATATAAATAATATAAATAATATAAATAATATAAATAATATAAATAATATAAATAATATAAATATATATAAATATATATTAAAAATATTAATAATTATTAAATTTAATTAATATAAATATTTTTAATTAAAATTTATATTTTTATTAAAATTTAATATTTATTTAATAAATAATTATAATAAAATTATAAAAGGGTTTTAAATCTTTTATTTTATTTTAAATATATTTTAAATATTATATTATTTATTTTTAAATTTAATTTATAATTCTAATAAAAGTTAAAATTAAATTATAATTAAATAAATATAATATTTAAATAATATTATTTTAAATTTTATAAATAAAATTAATTATTTTATTTATAAATTTATATAAAATATTAAAATTTATATTAAAATATAATTAATTTAAAATTTATTTAAAATATTTATATTAATATTAAAAATTAATAATAATAAAATAAAGTTTTTTTATTATAAATTATTTAATCGGCGCCGGCCCGAACCGGCACGGCCTAGCGTACTAGCGCAGGAAGGTGTCTTCTAATAATAGATAGCGTTGTAGACGTAGCAGATTGTGAAGTCACTGTGAAAAGTCCTGTATGGTAAACTTAACTAAGCTGATCTTTGAAAGATACATTATATCTCGTCCCTCTCGAACTATAACTATTTGCTTCCAGCTTAGTAGTGGAACTAAAAAAATATAAATAGTCTATAAATTATTTAATTATATTTTATATTTAAAAATATTTTAAATTAAATAATAATATAATAATATTATAATTAAGTTAATTAAATATACTTTATTTAATTTAAATATAAAATTTTTAATTATAATAATAAATAAAAAATAATATTAATAATAATTATAATATAATAAATATTTATAATTTTAATTTTATAATATATAAATAAAAGTAAATATATTATTTTAATAATAATATTAATTATAAATATAAATAATTTATAGATTAAATATTATAATAAATATAAAATTTAAATAATATTTTAATTATATATAAATATTTATAATTATTTTATATTTTTAAAACTTTTATAAAATTAAAGTTATTTTAATCTATTTAACTTTAATAATTTTTTAAAAAGTTTAAATTATTTTTAAAAGTAAGTATAGCCTACCTACTACCTTACTATATTAAGCTAAAGTAGTCTAAAGTCTTCGCTCGTATTGTATGTACAACGTTGTTCAGATCGATATGGCCACCGTTGATTCCCGGAGGTGGGCGGATGCGAGGATCCACATCCCACGCCTCGGTTCCCTGAGCCGGCGGCGTTGATTATGCGCAGATGCTGGCCAGCAGGGGCTGGGTTTGCCGGGTCCCAGTAGAATATAAGCCACTTCAAACCAACATTGAGAATGAGGAAAAATGACCTTGTTGGATGAGCCATATCAAGCCTTCTCACGGCCTGGTTCATGACACTCTTCCATTCCCCGGGTTCATCTTTGCTTGGTGCCTTACACTCGACCCAGATAAGATCCCTATTCACTCCGGCGACTTGGCCACCCGGTTGTTGAGTGGCCTGTATGATTCGGACTGTAACAACATCTGGTCTAGTTTTCCAGTTGCTGTCTAGCGGGATTCAACGATACGCCTGGACAATAACATCGTAAAACGTGGATTGATTCGGCGGGACCTGGCCCGGTTGTAGTTGCGCCGGGTCATCTGCGAAAATTCAAATTAGCACCCACATACGGCAACATCTTTCCGTAATATAGCTGCTCATTCAATTCAAAATCTGGTATTGAGGTATACGTGTGTCTGAAGATCACCCGCCAAAGGCCGCCGCCACATCTAATTTGAGGCACCAACAGGCACACCATTTCCATTTCAACTACGTCTTTTCCCCACTTCCGTTGTACTTAAAATCCCAGGCCTCCGTCTCTTCTGCTGTCTATCTCAAAGGAAACAGTCCTTTTGCCTACCACAGACCTTAAGAAAAGTGCCTCTTAAGTCGCCTTGACGCAACACATCCGCACTCAAACAAGAAATACCCAGGCGCGACGAAAATGCCAGGGCCAAACCTCATCACCGTCCTCCGGGGACTCAAGGTGCGCGTCTCTACTATGGACGCATTCTTGCGCGCAAACGGCAAGGCCCACGGCACCGATGGCACCTTATTCGTACCCTTTTACGACAGTGAGACTCCCGATGAGATCACAGCCCTGCTCCGGGAGAAGGCCGGAAGTAACGACATGCTCTACGTTGTTCCGTCTATTGAAAGCCACGACCGCTCCACGCACGTATACGTAGCCTATAGCTACGCTCATGTCTACGCGCAGCGGTGCGTCACCGCCGACGATCCGACCGAAAGGATCCCGGGGGAGTTTGAGAAGCTGCAGGAAGAGATCTTGAAGTTCGGGGCAGGCGACGAGGAGGGGCGAGTAGGCTTGTTTGTTGTCTATACGGATCAACCAGGCCCGGACCCGCCCGAGTTAGCGGAACGGCGCAAGGTAAGCCCAGAATTCAGGCACCTGTCCAGGTTGTCAGCAGCCTCGTGTATTTAGGAGAGGTCGCTACTTTCATGGTTTTCGCTAATAGTTCCGTGCTGCACAGACACCTATTCATTGCGGCATGTGTGATGAGACATATGATTATTGGACCAAGAGGCAATGGCACCGGAAACAGGTCCATGGACTTGATGAGCCTCTTAATGGTCTGCCTGAAAATGCATAAGAGAGCTAGTTCGAGTTATATACTTATAACTTATTTGCAGTAGTTGAAGTAATCCTCTATTAAGCTTAGTTAGTAGGAAGGTATTTACTTATATAAGTTTTTTAAGTAACCTTTTAATAGTTAGTTATAATTAATTAATTACTTTTAATATTATTAATTTATATTTTTATTATTATTAGATTAAAATTAATTTATATAACTTATTTAAAGATTATTAAACTTAATATTATTATTATAAAATATTTTTTATAATTATATATTATAATTTATATTAATAAAAACTTTTTTAATATTTTAATTTACTTTATCTCTTTTATTAATTAATTTTAAAATAATTTTTAAATAATAAGTTTTAATAATATATTTATATTAATTAAAAGTTAATATAAATATTTTTTTATTTTTATAAAATAAAGTTTATTAATTAATTTTTGATTTTTAATTATTTATATAAATTATTTATATTTTTAATTTTATTATTAAATTAAAAGTAAATAGTTAAGGTTTTAAAGGGATAAAATATAATATATCTTTTAAAGATTAGTTTAATTAAGTTTACTATATAAAACTTTTATAGTAATTTTATAATCTACTATATTTATAACGTTATTTATTATTAGAAGATATCTTTTATATTAATATATTAAACTATATTTATTTAAGTTAATATTATTAGTTTATTAAAAGTTAAAGTTATTATAAATTATAAGTTAATCTTAATATTATTAAATATTATATATAAGGTTATTATATAATTTAGATAAATATAAGTTAGTTAAAATAAATAAAGATAAAGCTATTATTCCTTTAATTAAAAGTTTTAACTCTACTCTATAAATAAATATCTATTTAATAAACTTAAAAGATAATTAACTCTATTATATTATAAGTAAAACTATTTAAAAGTAGTTACTTAGCTAAACTAAAAGATAATTAAATAAAGTAATTATATTTTATTATTTAAGTTTATAAATTTAATAACTTTATAGAAGAAGAAATAGTTATTAATAATTAGATTTATAATTATATAAAGGTAGATTTTTATTTTAAAAGAAGTTATTAATATTTAAAATAATTAATATATTTTTAAAAAGTTAAGGGATTATAAGTTTAATTTAAAGGAAATTAAGATTTATAAGAATTTTAAACTTAAACTTAAAGATTCCTCTTTAAATTTAACTTCCTTAAAAAACTAAAAACTTAAAAAAGTTTAAATAAAATTAAATAAGGTTATAATAATATAATATAGTTAAATAAAAACTAATTATAAAATTATAATTATAAGTCTTTTAATTTTATATTTAAAAGGTTAATTATTTATATAAAATAATATAATTTTATTAATATTTAATTCTTAATAATTATTACTTTTATTATTTTATTTATTATTTAAAATAATTTTTTAATATATTATTAAATAATTTAATTTCATTAATTTTTTATTTAATATAATTTAATTAAATTTAATTACTTCTATTTATATATATTTAAAAATATATATAAATATAATTTAAAATAATAAATATTTTAAAATAATATAGCTACATAGTTATTAAAATATACTATAATAATTAATATATTTGTATATTAAAAATTATATAATCAAATAGACTATAGTAAAAATCAACCTTTTCCGTGGGAAATACGTGTGCGTTGGTAGGGATGTGCGCAGACCAGTCCAAGTACTTATGGCCTGGTTGCAAGGGCCTGCCTGTTGGTCCAATTTCATCACTTGCGTCAGCAAAAAAGGTCCAGAACTTGGTTTTAACAACGGCCTCCCACATTGAGAGCAACCATCCATCCGCCGGGACGATCCAAAACATCTACAAGAATTCTTCAACACGAACCACGGCAGCTTTCCCTGACTGACTCTCTATTATTCACACAATGGAACTTGACAAACACTTGCCAAAGGCTGATTGGGGCGCAGACGTTGCAAATCAAGGTGATGAGGACCCAGCCATCCCAACAGAGACACCTCACGAGTCCGAACCCCCCAAAGAAGAGCTGCGCGGCTTTGCTGCGTCGTATGCGGCGTTCCTCAAGGATCAACGTGAGAACCCGGACCACGACATCCTCGCCGAGATTCGCCGAGATGAAGAGCGCCAAGCAACCAGGCTCAAACTTCGCGAGAGGAAGGAGACCTATTTCTTCTATGGAACCCTGATGGATCCAGCTATCGCCCAAAGAGTCCTCGGCCTAGAGGCGCCGCCTACTTTGAGACCAGCAGTCCTCAGAAATCGCGGTCACATTAAGATGTGGGGTCCCTTCCCTGCATTCATTGCCGACGAAAACCCGAGGGTTGATATACAAGGGATGGCGTGTGAGATCGAGGGAGCTGCGAGGAAGGACCGGCTTTTGGCATATGAGGGCGAGAAGTATGTTGAGAAATTATGCCTGATCCATTTTCTCAGCGAAGATAGGAGCACTGTCACTGATGAGAGCGTTTTTGGCGTGGTGTTCGCATGGATTGGTGACGACGACGACGACGACTTGAGTGACGGAGTATTCGATCTGGAGGTTTACAAAGCGGCCAAGGCAGAACTGGAGGCTGCTGAGAAGTAGTCACCATTCTTTTGTACCCCTCACGGTCCAGCTGCCTGGCTGTTGTAGGTCGCTCCATTTCACCGTGCCTGTGTGATGGATATGACGCGAGAAACCTTGGAAGGCGACATGAAGATGCTCTAGGCCCGTTAATGCGGCCATTTTCGGGTGCCTTTTCTTCATTGGCGTAGCTGTCAGATAATGCACCTAGAACTCTCTCACGACTCTTATCTTTGTAATGGATGAATCAAAGGAGTCATCAACGTGAAACGTGGTCTACTGGTCCACCAAGTCACTTGTGCCGAACTTTGAGCGTGTGCCAAACTGCTGACAGCACAAGACATGCTCTGGTAGAACATAGTGAATCTGCTACACCTAGCATGAATCGAAGTTACGGTGTCCGGACCACGTTTCAAACCTTGATGCCAAAATGGGCACAGTGTCCAGGGTATTTGCTAATGTTGGTTAACGAGGCTTAGCCGGACCGCTCGGGCGGCGCGCCCTTTTTAAGCTCCACGTCTGGGACAAGCTTGTCTGCCCCCTGAAAATAGATGTTATGCCTGGCTCCCGCCTGCATGATCCCCCAAACGTGAGGGTCATCGCATCTTAAATGGGGCTTCATGCCTGTCTTCGAACATTTCACAGCACTGCGATTGGGTTAGGGAGTGACCCCTTGAAAAGTGTCAAATCCACATTGGCTCGGTTCAGGCCGTGAATGGGCCCGCATTTGAGAGGATGTGGTATATAACCGCAAGCCTTGAACTGAATCAAGCAATGGACTGAAGCCCTGATGTTGGTTTGTTTCGCTGTGATCGACGCGAGATCTACAGCCCAGCCGGCCAAAGCTACACTGGCAGTACACTCGTTTTTCCACCGCCACCCTCCACGTTGGCTACCACGATGCATCGGTCCTCGACATCTGCCTCCCAGTGTTTTGTAGCACTTTGCCTTCTCATACCCTCGATATATGGCCGTGTTGTCCAGAGACAGGCGCCCCCAGCCGCTGGAAACGTCACGTTCGTCCCTTGTCCTACGACGGTCGACCCTTTCTCACCGCAGGACACCGCTCTCGGCCTGCAATGCGCCAATTTGTCGGTCCCGATCGTGCACGACCAACCGGGCGGTGAGCAGGTGCAGCTGAGCATTGTCAAGATGCCCGCAAAGGGCCAGCGGATCGGCAACCTGTTCATCAACCCCGGTGGCCCGGGGTCTCCTGCTTCGACCCAAATCCTGAGTTTTGCTACAGGCCGGCTTCCGATGGGAAAAGCGATGGCGAATAGCTTCGATATTATCGCCATGGATCCTCGCGGTGTGGGCATGAGCACGCCGTCAAGATGTGATACGGCGATCGGGGATGAGCCGAGCGAGTTCGAGGTCACCACCGATGCAGGGCTTCAACAGCAGATAGAATACAACCAGAGGTTGGGGGCGAGCTGTAAAACACTGATGGGCACGTTATTCGACAACATGGACACGATTGCAGTGGCCAAGGACATGGAACTTGTTCGTGTGGGTGAGTTGGATATCCGGTTCCCTTCCATGACGAGACTTGCCGTCAAGACTGACCTTTGAAGCAATCGGCGACGAACCCATGAACTATTTTGGCCAGTCATACGGGACGCAGCTCGGGGCTCAGTACGCCCAACTATTCCCCAGCAAGGTGCGAGCGATGGCCCTAGACGGCATCCTTCAGCATACTGGTGACTATGCTTCCAACGTCTTGATTCAAACCAAAGCCCTGGACGCAGCCATCCAGGAGTTCTTCAACCGCTGCGAAAAGAACACGACAAATTGCGGGCCTCAAGGGGCCCAGATGCGCCAGCTGTGGGCCAACATTGTAGACAAGGCCGCGACGGGCACGCTCCAAGCCCCTGGGTGTGATGACACGCCGCAGACGGGCTGCTTCCGGAACGTCTCAACACAGGACCTACTCGGCACAGCACGTAGACTTATCGCGGCACCGCGTGGCCAGCAACGGCTGGCACAGGCCCTGACGCTGTCCGGGACAGGCAACGCGTCCTTTGCCGACTCCTTCTCGCCAGGCCTGCTCAGCGGCAACGTGTTCACCGACTCGTCCGCCCACGCGATCGGCATCGTGCAGTGCCAGGACGGGCACTTTGTGGACGCGACCCTCGCGCCTGACCCGCTGGGCCAGATCCAGGACCTGGCGGCCATGACGCGCAACTCGACGGTGACGCCCGGGATGGGCGAGTTCTTCCGGCGCACGATCGGCTGCACGGGCTGGCCGCTCAAGGTCACGAACCCGCGCAGGGCGCTAGACGTCAGCGGCACGCAGAACCCGGTGCTGCTGGTGCACACGACGTTTGACCCGGCCACGAGCCCCGAGTACGCGCGGGGGATGCTCAAGGAGATCCGGGGCAGCGTGCTCCTGGTCCGGGACGGGCTGGGCCACACGAGCTACTTTAATGCCGGGGAGACGGCGGCGGCGATGGATGCGTATCTTGTGAACCTTACCATGCCCGCGGTTGGGACGGTCTTGGCCAGTTAATTATGTATAACTGCACCAAGTACTTCGTGGCATGACATCACACGAGCCAGATATCACAAAGAATAATGTCTACTTGAACCCGGTTGCTAACCCGGTTGCTGAGTGCCATAGCAGACATTAAAAGGGTGCACCTGGGCAGCGTCTGCGGAAGGAGATAATCAGCCGAAGGATAATTATTATCTCCAGCCGGGGCACCTTAATCGCAGTTATCATTGAACTGAGGGTGTGATCACGGAGGGAAGTCAGTGTGGCCAAAGTCAGTGTGAAGGTACTTCTGTGCCAAGCCACTACGTATATAAGCGAGAAGTCACTTTACATGGGTCTTCTTCGGCTCTGGGGGGCCTTCTTTCGGCTGGGGTAAAAAGTCAGTCCGAATACGTGTTCAGTGTGCACACCGACCTTCTGAGGTCAGTGTGCACACTGAGCAAATCTCAGTGTGGGCATGGAAAATACTTGGAAAGTACGTAGATCTTTACTAGAAATAGTTAGTAAAAAGACGGAAATTGCGGTGGGGTGAGAGGTACATACCAAGTCTCAGTGTGAGCACGTTTAAACACAGGATGCCCCTAGTGTTTGAAAAAGAACTCTGAAAGAGGTATAGCGCCCCCTGTCTGTTTACCACACCACACTGACTTTCCTCCGTGATCACACCCTGAATGCAACACGAAAATGTTGTGCGGGTGCTTAGTGATGTATTTACCCTACAAGACTATAAGATTGAACATTGGGACCAAGAACACGGATGCACCGAAGAGGAAGGTCAGATAAGTGGTGGTCATCCATGGCAGAGATCTCCATCTAGTGCGGAATATTTCCAGATGCCCACATCTATCCGATTGTCAGAACACGGCACAGCCTGAGTGGCCCACGGGGAGCAATGATGGAGAAATAATGGGTCTTTCCCCATAGTCTGCGGGAACTTCAAGTAATTTCTTGCAAAGCGAACAACCCACATATATCCGAATCTCAGTACTTGTATGACGGGCGGGATCCACGTAAAAAAGTGGCTGCCCAGGTGTGCAACCCGAGGAGAGTAATTATGAGTGAGCAACCTTGCAACCAGTCACACGGGATCCAATAAATCCAGGCACTAATTACACCATGCATGATTCGGCCTTCCGCTGAGAGCCGCACCCAACCATAACCGAAGCCCGCTGTGCGGCATTGCGCCCGCGGCTTTATTCCGAATGAGGAATCTCGTGGCACCAAACCAGTAGGAGGTCGCTGTCGGCCCGGCCAGCTTGGGGGCCCCCGGCTTGACTGGAGGCTAGCAGCTCGGCCTTACAGTAGGCTGCCGCGGGTTAGAAGGTTCATGATCCTGGGGAAGCGGGTGCTCGAGCTTGTGGCTTGTAAGCCAGCTCTGGCCCGCGTCCAGCCGAGCCGCTGCAGTCTTGGATCTTGATCTGGCGGCAGGTCTTGGGCCAGTAGAGGTGGGCGACGGCCATGTTAACAAAGGTGAGGGGACGCTCTCTAGGAAATCGGTTCAATGTTTCAGCATTATTCCCTTGCTCCTTCCTCCCAGCTGTCTCGGAGTTCGAATTCTCGTGGCGATTGCGCAACAAGAACATCCAGAACGCAAGTGGTGAAGTCTAATCCACGGCACAGGCCAACATGGCTGACTTCTCACTCTCCCACATCACCATGTGGCTCGGCATATTAGCCGGTGCCGGCATACTCTACGTGAGTTGGCCAATGGTCCAGAGGAAACGGACAGACCTGGACTGACAACGTGTAAACAGACAACATGCATCGTCGTTTACCGCCTCTACTTCCACCCGCTGGCCAAACACCCAGGCCCATTCCTCGCCAAGATCACCGACGCCTACATGCTATGGCACAGCTACAAGGGCGACAGGCACCTGGAGCTGTGGCGCATGCACCAGAGGTACGGGCGGGTTGTGCGCTGGGGGCCCGACTCCCTCTCGTTCAACTCGTCGACGGCGCTCAAGGAGCTCTACGGCTTCCGCAGCAACGCGCGCAAGTCCGCCTTCTACGACGCGTTCGTCCACCCGGCGCCAAACACGCACAACTGCCGCGACAAGGAGCTGCACGCCCGCAAGCGGAGGGTCATGGCCCACGCCTTCAGCGACGGTGCCATCAAGGAGATGGAGAGGTATATCCTCGCCAACATCCGCACGTTTTGCGAGCAGATCGGCAGCCAGGCCGGCGGCAGCAGCACGGATGCCAAGGGCTGGACCACGGCGAGGTGCATGTCGGACTGGTTCGGATACCTGGCCATGGATATCCTCGGCGACCTGTGCTTCGGCAAGGCCTTCCACATGCTCGAGAGGCCGGACAACCGGTTTGCCATTGAGCTCGTGGGCACGGCAGCTCACCGGCACCTGATTGTATGACTCCTCTTCTTCCATCGTGCCATGATGACCATATTTAGAAGGGGATGATACTGACCTTGAATAACGCCCAGTGCGGCACAATGCCCATCCTCAACACCTTCTCCCTCGACCGCCTCCTCTTCCCCAACATCGCCGCCGGGCGCGCCAGGTACATGGCCTACTCGCGGGGCCAGCTGACGGAGCGCACCAAGCTGGGCGACGAGACGGACCGCCGCGACTTCTTCTACCACCTCCTCAAGGCGCGCGACCCGGAGACGGGCCAGGGCTTCACCACGCCCGAGCTGTGGGGCGAGTCGAACCTGCTCATCATCGCCGGCAGCGACACCACGTCGACCGCCCTGGCCGCCACCCTCTTCTACCTGACCCGCAACACGCACGCCCTCGGGAAGCTGCAGGACGAGGTGCGGTCGCGCTTCGCCGACGTCGAGGACATCCGCCAGGGGCCCCTGCTGAACTCGTGTGCTTACCTGCGCGCCTGCGTCGACGAGGCCATGAGGATGAGCCCGTCGGTCGGCGGGCTGCTGCCCCGTGAGATCCTGGCTGGCGGCATGACCGTCGACGGCGTGTTCGTCCCGGCTGGTACTGTGGTCGGCGTGCCGCACTATACCATCCACCACAATGCCGAGTATTACCCCAGCCCCTTCACGTACGCCCCTGAGAGGTGGATCGCCGGGTCGAAGCTGGAGTTTGGGAATGTGGTCGGCGAGTCGGACACGGCGGTGGCGCAGAGCGCATTCTGCCCGTTCAGGTGAGTTCCCTACCATCTGTCTCTGTTATTCGGGCAGTCCTCTCTGCTAGGCCAGGCCTGACAATCTTTCTCTCATAGCATTGGACCCCGTGGGTGCATCGGCAAGGGGCTGGCATATGTCGAGATGATGACAGCGCTGGCGAGGACCGTGTTCTTGTATGACATGAGGAGGTCGGTGGGTGTTGTTGACACGGCCGAGGGGCAGAAGGGAAGGGAGTGGGGGAGGGATCGACCGGACGAGATGCAACTGATCGACACGTTTACGAGCTGGAAGGAGGGCGTCATGGTTGATTTCAGGAAGAGGGACGGCATCTAATCAGCTGCCGCCTCCGGCAAGACCGAGTCGCAGAAGATTGGGTTCCTCCCAAGGTCGCCATGATCAGGCGATATGAGAATGAAACAAGGCGAGGTAGCTTTTGCATGGGACATTGATAGCGTAGTGTCTTTGTTTGTCGGGCAATATGTCAGTGAATAGAATGAAAACAACCTCTCTCTCAGAAGGTTGGCGATGACTTCACTGCCGGCCACCTGGGCAGGACTCCCACTTGCGCTCCAGTAAGACGCGAGCCCACTCACTGTGCGAACCCGAATCGGTTGCAATGCCGAGCCTACCCACCTTTTGCCCCGTTGTGCCCGTCACAAGACCTCATCGCATTGGCTGGTCCCTGGGTTCTCCCTCCGCTTCTTTGGGGAATCCCTGTCCTAGCTTAGGCCCTCCTCACTGACTCTCCTGGGGCAGTTCAGGACGTTCCTCGGTTGAATTCCAAGCTCTTGGAAGGCAACTCAACAAGGATCGGTGCGGGGGAATAAACATTGACGGCCCCGGCCAAGCAACTCGAGTTGCCCGCCGACGCGCTTCTCTGGTCTTCCAGGATGGGAATTCGGCCGAGCGCGTGCAAGTTAGGTCCCCAAGTCAGATTTATCCGCCTTGGAGATGGCTGGATGGGTTTCTACGGCGGGGAACACGGAGCCGGCTTTCTTGAGTCGCCCGCGCCATCTCCAACTTGGCGTCGACGACGCAGGCACATCTTTCTTATCTTACCCAAAGCAGCTTGTGATCGACAGCAGCATGTAGAGTAATCGTTGGAGTCGACGGCCAATCTGTCTTCTGCCCTTTCCCCTGCATTCACGTTATCCGGGTATGCCACCTCGGCTGGGCCCGTCGATACATTGCGGTTTGTCTATCTTGTCTTTTCAACAAGTTCCCCTGCCGGATTACGTCCACGGGTAGGGATAAGTGCTGCTCTCCGTGCATGACGACGACAACATCTGAGTGCCCGCCATGTGGAGATCTGCACTTCCCTGCCCACCGTCCACGATCTTCTTGGTTGACCCCACAGGCACAGACCGAGATACCCTTCCTCTTCTTGCTTGTCACCCTCGCGTCGGCACACCTCGGAGCGAGTATGGACTCATATCGCCCCTGCCCACACGCCCGCCCAGGAACACGCCCGCCCTCGTGATAACCACAATGTAACGTGCCGTTTGTTCATAAAAGACATGCTATCTCCCAGCCGATCCCCCGCCGGCAGCAGTGGTCCCTTGTTGCAAGGCACCAGTCTCCTCGGCCTCACCTTCTCTCCTCGAACGGCTCGCTTCCTGACCAGCCCGCCGTCGCCATCATGAAGTCCATCTCTGCCCTCGCCGGGCTCGTCAGCCTGGCGGTCGCCCAGTCGTGGCCAAACACGCCCTTCACCTCTTCGGGCCGTGACATCCTCGACGCCTCTGGGAACGTCGTCACTTTCGCCGGCGCCAACTGGCCCGGTGCGGCAGACGTCATGATCCCGGAGGGCCTGCAGTACCAGAGCGTGTCCTACATCGTCTCGAAGCTCAAGGAGATCGGCATGAACACGGTCCGGTTGACCTACGCCATCCAGATGATTGACGAGATCTACGACAACGGCGGAACCGACATCCCCCTGTCCAAGGCGCTCACCCAGGCGCTGGGTGAGGCCAACGGCACGACCGTCTTCAACCAGATCTTGGCCGCGAACCCAGACTTCAGTACCGATATCACTAGACTGGAGGTGAGTTTGACGCAGGAAAATGACAGAAATTCAAGGCCACTGGGAGTTATCGTTGCTGACCTTTTTGGACCCCAGGTCTTCGACGCAGTAGCTGCTGAGCTCGCTGCCAACGAGATCTACATCGTCCTGGACAATCACATGTCCCAGGGAGCGTGGTGCTGCAACACGGAGGACGGAAACTCGTGGTGGGGAGACACATATTTCTCACCGGCCAACTGGACCCGAGGACTGGCCTACATGGCGGATCACGTAAGTCTTCAGATACTGCCTTGGAATGGATTCGCGCCCTGAGTCCACCCGGCCCACCAGTCATACTGACAACGTCCCCAGGCCAGCTCATGGACCGCCTTGACCTCACTCTCCCTCCGCAACGAGGTCCGCCGGCCCGACAACAACGCCACCCTGCAGGAGACGTACAACTGGCAGACCTGGTACAAGAACGTCAAGGACGGCGCGGCCGCCGTCAACGCCGCCAACCCGGACCCGCTCATCATCCTGTCGGGCCTCGACTTCGACACCTTCCTGACGCCCGTCGTGCGCCGCACCGCCCTCACCCCCGGCACCGAGATCTTCTCCCGCGACGACTTCGCCGCCGACAAGCTCGTCCTCGAGCTGCACACCTACGCCAACAACGTCGCCAACTGCGACTCCTTCGAGACGAGCCTGTACAACAACGGGTTCCAGACCCTCAACATGACCGCCGACGTCGAGCACTTCCCGCTGCTGCTGACCGAGTGGGGCTTCGCGCAGGACGGCTCCACCTACCTCAAGCCGTACACGCAGTGCCTTGCGGAGTACCTCCCTGCGCAGAAGGCCGGCTGGATCATCTGGGTCCTTGCCGGCAGCTATTACATCCGCACCGGCACGCAGGACTTTGAGGAGACCTGGGGGCTTCTGTCGCACGACTGGAGCGACTGGCGCGACCCGCTGTTTGTCAACAGCACCTTGGCACCCATGGTTGAGAACACCCTCTCGTGAGAAGTCCCTGGGTCGTATGCGTGGCTTATGTATATTGAAAATGATAGCACGGTGAAAATTATGTATATTTGTCCGTGTTGTGGTATCTAGTAATAAGACTGTAGATATAGGACACCCTCGCCGACGTGCGTGTACTCGCAATCACGGGACCATCCCACCATCATATTACACATTGCTTGATTAAACTGTGAAGCTTAGCTGATCTGTGAGACATTCGGCGCTGGGCTGAGCCTGGAGACTTCTGAAGTCTGTGATAGTTTATTGCACGTTGAGATTCTAGACTCAGCTCCCAATGCTGCGACTGCTGAAGTCCAGCCTGCGTTGGGCCACTGCCAACCATCATGCGCCATCTAGGTGACATTTTGGAACTCCCAGATGTCCAAGAACGGTAATGGTTCTCCAGCCAAACAATTTGCCAACATGCTGTCACAATTTCATTGAGGATACAAAGCTCTGTTCCTTTGATACAGAAGCTAAATCTTATTCAGCCGGCACTCGCACCCGTCGATTGACCCACGTAGCACAGTGTCATTGTTAATTCCACTATCATCGAGGGTTCTAAGGCTTTTTTAGCAATTGGAACAAAGCCATCTCGGATGACAATGACATTGTTCCTAATATGACAGACCCAAGGGATTGAATCTACCCGATTACCTAGGTAGATTACATGGAAACGCTTGGGGATACATTTCTGTTCATCTGGGAAAGTCTCGGAGTTGGCACTTATTATCCTCAGTGATGAGTTGCGGGCCGTGGCTCGGCTCAGCCCGGGACTACGACTTTGCTACCGTATCTTACCTGGTTTCGCTTCTATTCCGCATACGTCCGAGGACAAGACTGTTCTTCTCTCCTTACCGAGCTTGCGAGCGTGATCCTTCCTTCAGAAACCTCAAAATGAGCTATCTAGTCACGAGGTTAGCTCCCATCTACGCTTTGTCATATGCACTGTCTACGTTCGCATGAATCCTTCTGTCTTTCATAGTAAGAAATAATAAGCCGGACAGGAGAATACTGCAGTGTCATTGATTGCAAAATCCTGGACGACCAAACCTCCCCAGCCTGTCACTCTCAGAGACCAACAGCGTCAACAGCCGCGCCGAAATGTGTAATTAGTTGCCAGCTGCGGTACTCTACTCCTCACTGCATGGCGCAGAACACCTACCTGATCAGGCTTTGAAATCCTCTGCTCACCATGCTTCGGCATGCACCCTGGTTGTGTATATTCTGTACCCCTGCTTTATTAGGCGGTAAGACTAGCCCCAGCTGCCAGGCTGCATTCCTGTGGACCAACACCTACCTACCTGCAGGCTGGAGATTAGGGCAATTGGGTTACGTCGAATCCTGCTGCGAGGGGCTAATTCCACCGTATCTCCATGCCTTACGTAATTGAATTTTGTGGAAAACAACGCCTCTGGTCAACTGGCTCATTTTCAGCTGCTCAGGACGCATACAAAAGTCGCCAACAGTACACGAATGAACCTTCGCTGTGAAATCACCAAACTTCTACGTTGCTGCCTGACCGCCTGCTTCGAATGCATATTTGTGCTGCTCTCGTGAAAGCCGCTGCGGAATTTTTAATGGCTATGGCTACCAAGGATGCTTCAAGCTACTACTACTCCGTCTCCACCCTGAACGTGAAACCGGAAAACCAGGCAAAGGTATATATACATTCAGCAGATGTCCTTATGAGACGTTGAAGGTCAAATTTCAAAATATGATTTGGATGATTTCGTGAGGATAGATACTGATCTTGTGTGTCTTTGCTCTAGGTGGTCGAGTTCTTTACACGTGTGGGGGAAGCAACAGAACGGCTGGAGCCCGCTGCCAAGATCTATCGATGGTATAAGGTTCAAGACAAGGACCAGTTTGTCTTCATTGAAAAGTCAGTAAACCGTGCTGGAACATCACTGATGCTGATAATTCAGTCACCCCAGCTAACCGGTGCATTGCTCGCAACAGATTCGCCAGTGAGGCAGATTATCGCGCACATCAGAAGTCAGAGCACGTTCAAGGCCTGTATCGAGAGTACATCGACTACATTACAGAACCTTTCGCGTTTTATCCGATAGACACTTCCGAGGAAAGATTGATTGGGGGTTTGAGAGGGAATGAAATGTTACTAAGATGAGAGCTCAGCAATCCCTTCAATGTTTCGGGCAATATTCCTAGTAGTGCGGTGATGATACCTTGATCGGGGCCCCGGGCCCTGAGATCCTTGAAGCAGAACGCATTTGTACTATGATTGTCACATAGTCTCAATAGGTAGCTACCAGACTGGGAAAAATGATGCCTTGGTGCTTTTCATAGGGAGATAAGGAGGGGGTTTTGAATCGCTCGTCTCGGCGTGTCGGCGTCTCGTTGCACTTGTCGAGATCAATGTGAAAAGTATGGATGAGCACCGACAGCAGGTGTTGATTCGTGATGTTTTGTGTACAAGATCGTAGCAGCTTTGGAAGTTGTCCTCCCAGTGACTTAGTAACGGTGAGCCTCAACACTCGCTCAAACCCGTTTTGGCATTCGAACATGCAACCGAGCGTTGACATTCCCCTGCAATGTGAGCCTCCAAAAGTACAAAGAGATGCCAGAACAACATGCTCTGGGCGGTGAAGGAAAGACAAGAGACGTGGGAATACCAAGTCGGGGAGGATGAACTCTACCGATTGAAGGAAAGATCCCACCAAGGCCTCAAGCTCCGATGCTGGAGCCTGGGGGTTGGACAATCATTCTAGGTATAAATAAAGAACGGGCGATTTTCCATACGGTGTTGCTTTATGGAATCTGAGTGCTCCTTGTTTGCACTACAAACATGAGAATGCTCTTCTGATGGCACAGAAACGAGTGAAGAATTTCAAATGCCAGACTGCACCCCTCATAGTCCCCAAACGAAACAAAAATAATATATCCACATCAGGGTTTGAACCCGAGTCTCCGGGGAGTTCAAGTGCAATTGCCTTTTGAAAGCCCGATATGCTAACCACTGCACCATATGGATAGAAGGTTGCATGTTAAAAGCCTTCAAGTAGGCCGGTGGGTGGGTGCAGTGCTAGTGTGTTTCTGGCTGTTTGTTTGTCGTTTGTTTGCAGTTGAGTCACCCGGTGACGGCCACGCCAAATGACTGCGGACTTTCTGCCTGCCTGAGTGGCATTCCTGGCCCTCAATTGAAAATGTGTGAGGATTGGCTGTATCTGTGTCTTACTGGACTGAGGGCGTCCGTTTGCAGTTCCAAGTGTTTGCATTTGCTTTATTTTCTCTCCCCCCCCCCTCACTCCCATGACTTCGATGAAAGGCCTCTGGAATAAGCAATCACCATCCATTTTGCTCTACCCAGGGATTATCTTTCTTAGATTTGCGATGTTACGTACCTAGGTACTACTAGTACTGAACAATCTTAGACTATCTTTGACTTCATATTTCAGCATCCGATTCTCACTTACTGCCCCAGGGTGGCATCATTGATGCTTGTGTGTGACGATGAAGACACTGATTAGAAGAAGACTATCAGCAACACCGACATTCTCTAATATTAAACAACTGGCTGGACAATTTGAGGGTTGGTGGCCCATGGGAATGACGGCAAAATATCAATGAGCACATGAAAACTCGCAGCCTGCCTAACCCAACACCCCAGAACGAAGAGAGTGGTGATACAGTCACTCAGCTTGCAATCATACAATTAGTCACGGGATTACAGTAAAAGAGGCAGTGAAGTATTAGTGACAGTCCTGATGAAGGTTTAGGGGGTTTATTGTGGTGACAAGAACGAAGAGGTAAAACTAGATACATCAAGAGGAAGCAAAATCCTGGACATTTGGTACCTTCCTCTTTCTCATCATCAGCCTGGCACTAGGATCCAAGAATACGTTCTCGTCTGCGCTCATGGTCCTAGGCATCGACTTTCCCTCAGGATATTTGAACTCGAATTCCGTGAGTAGTCGTGCCAACAGCATTTTGATCTCAGCCACTCCGAGAAACCTTCCCGGGCAGGCTTGATTACCGTAGCCAAACGTAAGGTTGCTATCCATATCGGTGATAACAGCCTGGTGCCTGTCCAGCTGGTCTACTGATGAGTAGCGCTTGCGGTAGCTGCGCATAGGATCAAATGTAAGCGGATCTGGTGTAACCATAGGGTCCATCTGATGCTCAGAACTAGTGAAAGCAATCCTGGCACCCTTTGGGATTTGCGTCCCGTCTTTCAACGTGTACGCGGAAAGAGCCACTCTTTGCGGATTCACTGTTGTCGAGTTAGTCAAAAGAAACACAAAGTATTGGTACATCAGACAGGACTCACAGAGTATGGGCGGGTGCAGTCTGAAGCATTCCAGCAAGAAGGAATCCATCTTCTCTAGTTTTGTGTGCCACCGCCTGTAATCAATTTCGTGATCACCCATCTGCTCCTTGACTTGTTCGATCTCCTCGAGTATCACGGGAAACCATTCCGGGTGCTCACAGAGCTCGAACAGGAAGGTGGCAGTATTTGTTGAGGTGGTGTGGATACTCGCAAGCGTCATGACACACTGGCGGTTGGCCATCTCAGCGAGCGTAGTTTCCTCCTGAGTCCCATTATCGAGCATCCAGTCAACAAGCGTTTCGTCCGCTTCGTCCTCGACTAGTTCGCAGTGGTCTTGTTCCCGCCGGGAATCAACGTGCTTTCTCATCCTGGCAGCCATCACCTCTTCGGCTTTGTTGCGGTATTGTTTTAGACGGATTCGCGAAGGAAGCACTGCCGCGACGATGGGGCGCACCCATGTTGGGAACATGCGCAGGACGAAGGCAGTGGTGAATGCGTCCATTGTGTAGTCAAGAGACACTTTGATCCATTCCGGATCACGACACGCTGGCAACCCTAAAAATATTCTTGCTGACATGCGGGCAACCAGCAGTCGTGAGATTTGCTGAACGTCAACCTCGGCCCAATCTGTTGAATGTCAGAAAATCCAAAGAGAATTATGAGAAATATCCACTTACCCTCTGGTTGAGGGACGTCCAAGTCCCAACCGTAATCGAGTTCCTGGGAAGCAATTTTCAGGAATTTGGATAATTCAGGTGCCAGTTTGCGCTTCATAACTTGAACATGGAGGTCAGATCTGTTCAGAAAGTGTAAATCTGTCCACTTGTAAAGCATGTTCTAAGTCCTATCAGTACAGAGAGCCATTGCAAACAGTTTAAATTTGCCTAGACTGACTTGAGATGTTGCAATTCTGCCGCTAAGAATTGAAGGCGATATCAGGCGGACCTCTTCGAGATACTGCATTGGCAGAATGTTGTAGTCTGTATCAAAGCGACGAACAATGAATGGAGAACCTTTGAACTTGTGTATGTGTCAACATTTCATACGAGGGCATAGAATGAAGACTGATGCGGTGGAGGTGGGGTGGTGACTTGGGCAATTAAAAGGTACCTTCTGATATCCGCTCGAGATGATGCTTCTCGCTCCGGTCACGAATTTCAACTGAGACACCATCGCAGGCCACAGGCGGGAGGTGTTGTGGACGGGAACTTTGTCGATATTCTTCTTCTTGGACCCATGAAGAGCCGAAGTTATGCATAACGTGACAAGCAGTAAGCCCGCGATCTGTCCAATACTGGCACACCGGGTGATGTCGACCAATTGGAGCATGTATTTTCCAATACTGGCGGAGGACATTTTGATGATACAGTCTTACTGATGTATAGAACCTTGCGCCCTTGGCATTAACGAAGCTTCAAAATGGCGGAATCAACAATGGTGCGAAAGCTCAATAAAGTCATGACCATCGAGGATGTCAGTTGCAATATAACAGGCTGATCCTGCAGTCCTTCCAGAGGCGGCAAGCTACCTTCGGGTCTCGGTTCTTCTCACCCACCAAGTCAGCCGATGGGCCCACACACAGCCCTACTTACATACAAGCAGATTTTAAGTATTTATTTAAGTACTACCTAACTTTAACCTTAAGTTACTTAATAATTAGAAAAGTTATTTTAATTTTAATAATAATCTAATACTTTTTAAAATATAAACTTTAATATATAAATTTTACTTATTTTTAATTTTATTATTAAATTTATTTTTATTAATTATTAATAAATATTTATTTCTATTTAAAATAACTTTTTTATATTTTTAAATTATTAATTTTTTATAATAATTATTAAATTTAATACTATATTATAAATAATTTTTTAATAAGATTATAATTCTTAATAATCTTTTATTACTTATTCTATCCTATAAATTCCTTATATTCTAAGGGTTAGTTTTATTATATTAAAGAGTAGATACTTTAAATATTTATTATAATAATCTATAATTTATTATAAATTTATAATAAATTATTATTTAATAGTAAATTTATTATAAATTAATTATTTATTATACTTTTATAATAAATTTTAATTTTTATATTTAATATACTTTTAAACTAGTATATTATAATAGGTTAAACTTTAACCCTCTTTTACTACTTTTATTTATACTTTATAGGATTTTTAATAAATTTTAATCTTCTTATTAATAATTAATATTTTTAAACTTAATTATTAAAGAAATTTATTTTATTTTCTAATTAATAATATTTTAATTAACTTATTTATTATTATTTAAATTAATAAAGTATATTTTATATTAATAATATTTTTAAACCTTTTATTATAATTAATAGTTATAAATATTTATATATTATAATTTTATTTTAAATTAAATAATTTTAAAATTTATTAAGTTTATAATTTATATATTATTATATTTAATTTTAATTTTCTTTTATTTAAATTTATTAATAATTTTATAAAAGTTTATTTATAAATAATATTTTTATTATTTATATTAAAATAAAAATTTTATTTTAATTATTAATATTATAACTATATTTTATTTATTAATATTATAACTATATTTTATTTATTAACTTTTATTTAATTACTTTTAAATAACTTTATTATAAATATTTAAAAACTTTTTAATTAATAATATTATTAATAAAAAATTATTTATAATTATAAATTTATTTATATTTATAAAATAAAAATAAAATACTTAATATCTTTAAAATAAAATAATATTTAATTTATAATATTATAATATTTTTAACTTAAATTTATAAAAAATTATATAAACTTTAATATAATAAATATAATATTTAATTTAATAAATATTATAATAAATAATATAAATTTAATTTTTAATAATATAAATTAACTTTAATAAATTTTATAATATTAATTTATAATTTTAATTTTTAATTATTATAAAACTTTATAAAAAGATTTTCTTTATGAATTATTTTAATAATCTTATTTATATATATAATTTAAATAAATTAAATTTATTAATTTAAATAATCTTTATAAATTTCTATACTTAAAAACTATTAAATTAAATCCCTTTATTAATTTTATACTTTTTTAAAATTATTAAATAAATTTATTAATTTATTTTATTAATTTATTTTATTAATCTTTTAATATATTATAATAATATTATTAATATAAAAGAAATTAAAATATTATTCTTTTATAATAATAAAGTTTATATAATACTTATTAATATTTAAATTTAATAAATATTTTTATAAATTCTTTTATTATAATAATAATGAAATTTATAATTTATATAATACTTTATTAAATATTAAAATAATATTTTTTTTTATAATTATAAAATATTTTTATAAAAATATTTTAATTAATTAAAATATAAATAAATACATTTATTATATTATATTAAATTAATTTAAAATTAAATTTAATAATAATAATAATTAATATATAAAATAATTATTTTATTAAAATTATAATTTAAATTTCTTATATTTATTTTTATATTTATTAATTTTTTAATAATAAATTATATTTTATACTTTTAAAATATTATACTTATTAAATTTATAAATATATACTTATATATAATTTAAAATTTATTGTTTTATTATATAAAAATTCTTTTAAAATTTAATTTAAAATTTTATTTTAATATAATTTTATAAATAATTAAGTTTAACTTATTTATATAAACTATTAAATAAATAATTTATTAAATTTTTATATTATTTTAATAATTTTAAAAATTATTTTTTAATATTTTTACCTTTTAATATAAATATCTTTTAATTTAAACTTTATTAAAATATTATTATTTAATTTTATTATAAATATTATTTTATTTTAATTATAAATATAACTTATTATAATAAATTTATTAAAATTAAATAATTAATAAAATTTTTTCTTTTTAATTATATTTATATAATATATATTAAAAATATTAATAATAATAATTAAAATAATATAGAAAATAATATAAACTTAATATTTATATAAAGGCTATTTTATTAATTTATTTTAAACTATTTATTTTCTATTTCCTTTATATTTTTCTTAAATTCCTTCTTTATTAAACCTTTTAAACTTTTAATTTTAAAAGATTCTTTTAAATTTTAATATTTTATTATTATTTTAAAAATATATTTTCTTTATTTATTTTACTAATTATTTAATATTTATAATAAAAACTTATTAATAAAACCTTTTTAATTATTATTAAATATTTAATATTTATTAAAAATTATATTTTATATATTAATTATTTTTAATAAAAGAATTTATATTTAATAAATATTTAATAATTAATATTTTATAAAATAATTAATTTAAACTTATAATTTTAAGTATTAATACTTTTTTTTAAATATTTATAATTATTATATAAACTTTATAATTAAATACTTTTAAATAAATTTAATTAAATTTTAAATTTAATTTTAAAATTCTTTATTTAATAATAATAAAAAATTAATAATATAATATTTATTAATTTAAATTAAAAATAATATTTAATTATTAAAATAAATAGTTATTTATTTAATTTTAATTAAAAAAATTAAAAGTTTTAAACTTATTTATAAAGCCTATATTTTATTTTATTATACCCTTTAAATACTTTACTTTATTATTCTATACTTATATATTAAATATAAAATTTAATTTTAATATATTTTAATTTTAAATAATTTTTAATACCTTATTTTAATTAAATATTTTATTATTATATTTAATAATTTTAACTTTTATATTATATTAAAATTCTATTATTTTAAAAAAATTAAATATTTTAAATATTATATTATTATTTTAATTTATTATATAATAATTTTATATATATTTAAATATTTTATATATAAATAAAATTATAAATTATAATTATAAATTTTAACTTATAATTATAAAATTTAATATTATTCTTTTACTTTTTATTTAAAATTTTCTTAATAAATAATAAATTTATTTTATAATTTTAATTAAAATATATATTTTATATTTAATTATTATTAATTTATAAATTTATACTTTTAAAAATATTTATTAAATATTTTAATATTTTAAATTTAAAATATTTAAGTTATTTATATTATAAAAAACTTTATTTATTTATAATTTTCTTTTATAAATATTATATACTTTTTTTATTAAATATAATTTTTAACTTATAAATTAAATATTTAATAATATATTACTTATAAATATTTTAAATTTATAAAAATTATTTTATTTTATTTTTAATATAATTAAATTTACTTTATTATTTTAAAAATACCTTTTAAAATTATCTTAAAAATATTAATATAATTAAAATCTTTAAATATAAAATAATATTTTCTATTTATAAAATAAATCTTTTAATATTAATTAATATTATATTATATATTATAATAAAAATTATTAATTATTTATTTATAAATAATTATTATATATAATTAATTTTAAATTAAATAATCTTTTATAATTATTTATAATTAATATTATATTTATTAAATTTAATATAATTAAATATTTTAAAAATATTTTTATATTTATAATAAAAACTTTTATTTTTATATTAATTATATAATACCTTAAAGGTTATTCTTTAATTTTTAATTAATTCTTTTAAAAATTATAATATTTTTAACTTAAATTTTAATTTTAAATTTTTATAATTTAAACTTTTATTTATAAATTTATATCCTTTTAAAAGTTTTATATACTTTTTTAATAATTTTATTCTTTTAAAACCTTTAAAAACTTTTTAAAAAAATATAATAATAATTTATAAAAGTATAATTTTAATATACACCTTATATAAATTAATAGATTCTTTTATTTTGAATTAATTATATTTTTAACTTATATAAAATCTATATACTTTATTTATATTTTATTAATTTAAATTCTTTTTAATAATATAAATATTCTTTTATTATTATAATTTTTAAATTATTATAAATAATTATTTATACTTTTTTATAATTTTTATAAATTTATTTTATATATTTAAAACTTATAACTCTTTTTAAAAAAGTTTTAATATTATAATATATAAAACTTTTATTTATAATTTTCTTTTTATATTTACTTAAATATAATTATTTATATTAATAATATTTTATAAAGTTTATAATAAATTATAAACTTAAATAATAAATTATTTTACCTTTATAATCCCTTATTAAATAACTTTTATTATAATAATTTCCTATTAATCTATTTAAAATATAATATCTTTTAAACTTTATAATAATTTAAAAATATTTTATATATATTTCTTATTTTTAATATATTATTTAATTATAATTATTTATATTTTATTATAAATCTTTATATTATTTTAAAAAAACTCTTTTAAAATATAGTATATATTAATTTATATATTAAATTAATAATTTATATTATTTATTTTTAAATTTTTAAACTATAATCTATTTTTATTATATTTTAACTTAAATTATTTATATTTTTATAAATTTAAATTATAAAGTTTAAAATTAATATTAATAAAATTAAATATTTATTATTAATTTTATTATTTCTTTTAAATAATTTTAACTTTTAATATTATTATTAAATTTATTAATAATTTAAAAATAATACCTTTATAATTATAATAATTTTTATATACTTTTATAATTAAAAATTAAATTTCTATAACTTTAAAAAAGATTTATTTAATAATTAATATAGTTTTAAATCTATAAATTTTAATTTTTAAAAACTTATAATTTTAATTATTTTATTATTGTATCTTTATAAATATTATATTTTAAATTTTTTATTAAATTTATTAATTATATTAATTAATTTAAAATAATAAAACTTTTAATTATTAAATTTAATATTATATTATAAATAATTTTAATAAAATTATAATTTTTAATAATCTTTTATTATTTATTTTATTTTATAAATTCCTTATATTATAAAAGTTAATTTTATTATATTAAAAATAAATACCTTAAATATTTACTATAATAATCTATAAATTTACTATAAATTTATAATAAATTATTATTTAATAATAAATTTATTATAAATTAATTATTTATTATATTTTATAGTAAACTTTAATTTTTATATCTAATAATAATAATAATAAAAAGAGTTAATATTTACCTATTTAACTTTTATAATTATTTATTTAATATTTTTTAATAACTTTTTATATTTATAAATACTTTTTAAATTAATATTAAAAACTTTATAATATAACTTTCTTTTTTTTTTATTTTAAATATAAACTCTTTTAATATACTTTTAATATACTTTTAAAACCTTTTATTTTTACTTTTAAAACTTTTACTTTTACTTTTTAAGTTTTTAAATTATATATATTTAAATAAAAAAGTTTTAAATTTAAATTTAAAATTTATATAAATTTTAATTTATTTTAAATTAAATATATAATTTATTAATTTTTAAAATTATATTAATTATTTTAAATAATAATAACTTTTAAAATAAAATTTATTTTTATATAATTATAAATTTAATTATTATTAATTTCTTTTATAATTATTTATTTTTATTTAATTTTATTATTAAATTAAAAGTAAATAGTTAAAGTTTTAAAAAATAAAATATAATATATTTTTAAAGATTAATTTAATAAAATTTATTATATAAAACTTTTATAATAACTTTAAAATTTATATTTATAATATTATCTATTATTAAAAATATCTTTTTATATATTAATATTAAATTATATTTAGTCTTTTATTTAAACTAGTATTATTAGTTTATTAAAAGTTAAAGTTATTATAAATTATAGGTTAGTTTTAATATTATTAAATATTATATATAATATTATTATATAATTTAGGTAAGTTAGTTAAAATAAGTAAAAATAAAAGTTATTATTTCTTTAAAGGTTTTAACTCTACTTTATAAGTAAATATTTATTAAGTAAAACTAGTTAAAAGTAGTTATTTAGTTTATTATATTATTAAACTAAGAGATAATTAGGTAAGGTAATTATACTTTATTATTATATATAATATTTAAGTTTATAATTTTAATAGTTTTATAAAAGAAGAAATAACTATTAATAATTAAATTTATAATTATATAAAAGTAAATTCTTATTTTAAAAGAAGTTATTATTATTTAAAATAATTAATATATTTTTAAAAATTAGGGATTATAAGTTTAATTTAAAGTATATTAAAATTATAAAATTTAAAATTTAAACTTAAAAGTTTAAATTAAAGTTTATATTTATAAAAATAAAAGTTTTATAAAATTTAAAAAAGTTTAAATAAAGTTAAAATTAAATTAAGTTATAATATAATAAAATAATTAAATAAAAATTAATTAAAAATTATAATTATAAATCTTTTAACTTTATATTTAAAAGGGTTATTTCTTTTATAAAATTATTAAAATTATAAAATTAAATAATAAAATATAATTATTTTATTTAAAATTATATTTTAATTTATATCAAAATTAAATAATTATTTTAATAATTTTATTTATAATATAATAAAATTAATAAATAAATATTTATTTAAATAAAATTAAAACTTTTAAAATAATAATTTTATATTTATTTATTTTAATTAATTTATATTTATTTAAACTATATAATAATATTATATATAATATTTAATAATATTAAAATTAAATAATTTATAATTTTTAATAATTTTAATTTTTAATATATAAATTATTTATATTTTTTTAATTTTATTATTAAGCTAAAAATAAATAGTTAGAGTTTTAAAAAAATAAGATATAATATATCTTTTAAAGATTAACTTAATTAAGTTTATTATATAAGACTTTTTATAATAACTTTATAATTATTTATAACACTATTTATTATTAGAAAATACCTTTCTATATTAATATACTAGGCTATACTTAGTTAGTTTAGGCTAGCACTATTAACTTTAATATAAACTAGTCTATTAAAGGTTAAAGCTATTATAAATCGTAGGCTAGTCTTAATGCCATTAAGCACTATATACAAGGTCGCTATATAACTCAGGCCTTCTAAGTTAGCTGAAATAGGCGAAGATAAAAGCTATTATTCCCCTAACTAGGGTTCTAGCTCTGCTTAAATAAACACCTATTAAGTAAAACTACTTAAAAGTAGTTACTTAGCTGAACTAAGAGATAACTAGGTAAGGTAACTACACTCTATTATCTAGGTTTATAGTTTTAATAGCTTATAAAAAAAAGAAGAAATAGTTATTAATAACTAGATCTATAACTATATAAAGGTAAACCTTTACTTTAAAAAAAAGTTATTATTATTTAAAATAATTAATATATTTTTAAAAAAGTTAAAGGATTATAAATCTAATTTAAAGTATATTAAGATTTATAAGAATTTTAAACTTAAGCTTAAAAGTTTTAAACTAAAATTTATACTTATAAAAATAAAAACTCTTATAAAGTTTAAAAGAGACTTAAATAAAGTTAAATTAAATTATAATATAATAAAATAGTTAAATAAAAATTAATTAAAATTTTATAATTATAAATCTTTTAACTTTATATTTAGAAAAGTAATTTTTAATGTATTAAATTAAATTAATTAAATATAAATTTAATATATTAATATAAAAATATTATTTAATAATAAATAATATTATAAATAATTATAAAATTATTATAAAGAATTTTATATAATAAATTTAATTAAATTAATTTTAAAAATAAATTATATTTTTTAAAAACTTTAATTATTTACTTTTAATTTAATAATAAAATTTAAAAATATAAATAATTTATATATAGTTTTTATAATTTTTATAAAATAAATATATATTTTAATAATATTAATTAAATTAATTATAATTTAAATTATTTATAAAATATTATATATATAAATTTATTATTAATTTATATATATAATAAATATAAAACTTTTATATTATTAAAAATACTTTTAATTAAAAATATTTTATATAAATTAATTTTATAAAATTTAAAATATATAAAATAATACAATTTAATTATAATTATAATAATTTTATATATTAATTAATTTTAAATATTAAATATATTTATAATATTTAATATTAATATAAAATTAATTAATTTATAATTTAAAGTTTATATTAAAAGATTATTAAAAAGTTATTAAAAAATATTATATAAATAAATAAAATTTAAAATAAAAATAAAAATTAAATTTATTATTATATTTATTAATATTCTATTTTTATATATTTAAATATTTAAAAAATATATATTATTATAATTAATATATATATTCTATTAATATTTACTTTTATTAATAATTTAGTAATTAATAGTTAGAATTTAAGAGTTTATACTTCAAGGTGCGTGTTGTAGAGCTGTACTGCCCTCTAATGCGCATGCCTAGCTTCGGTGAGACCTTAGGCCGAACTCTGCGATGACTGGAAGGCGAAGACCATTGCGGCACAGTAGACCAACAGTCCAGGTGATAACACACCACAATCTCAGTTGGCCATGGACATACCTAAACCGCGAAGACCGAATGCAACATTAGCATTCCTTCGTCCTTGCCAAGGATAGACTGACGCAAATTCGCGTCATGCCCGCAGGTGATCCAGGCGAAAACGCGCAAGGCAGCAGAGGCCGGTGCAGGGGACGCGGAAGCCAGCCCTTGGAGACTGTTTCTGTTCAAGCAAGCGTTGCATGTTGCGGCGCTTATGCATCCGAAATCACCTCGGCCTCCGAGCGGTCCACCTTGAGGTAGCCCATGTAGGACTCTTGCCCTGTCGTTCAGGTGTTCGAGTGGTATGGAGAGACACGTCACAAAAGCTGTTGGAACGAAGAAAATGCATGCTTCAGCCCCAGCCCCCACTCAGGCCAAGATTTGACACGAGGAAAGCTGTTGGGACTAAGGCGATGCAGTGTGCAACCCTTCGCCTCACCCCAAGCCCAAATACCCATTGCCCAGCCACCTGGGCAGCTGTCCTTCCTCCGAGAACCTTCCGGGAAGTATCAAGAAACGGGCAGGAAACGCCTGTTGGCGGTAATATGATGCATGCTCCAACGTACCCACCGAGACCAACACCTGATAATGACATGAAGCATCCTGCAGGGAGTTCCGATAACATGGCTCAACAGGGAGGGGATGCCGTTGGAACATGCCCTTCAGCGGCCCCAAAAATTGAACAGGTTCAATCTGCATTAAAAATTGAACAGAATGCAGATTGAACCTTACGGATTTCCTCTCAGCTTTTGTGCCTTGCTGAGCTCGAGAATTGATGTAATTGAGAACTTCAGAACTGGGAGAGCTTTAGACGTGTTAAGAAGCTGTTGCTACTGAATGACTTTACAGAATTTGGAAATTATCATAGAAGAAGGATAGAATGGTGGAATGATGCAGCTGAATGAGTACATAGTGTCTCCCTACTCCAGGGCTTGTTGCCAGCGAACAGGGTCCATCCAGAGACTTGTGGTAAACCACCTTGACCAACATCGATCCCATGATGCATGACGGGAGAGGTATGACGACCGTGATTTAGTTTCGTCCTGCATTGGCCAGCATCTGCTCCAAGACTTGAACCGACACGTAGGTATCCACAAACTCAATGTACTTGGTGATCTCCTTCCCATCGGGTGAGAGTTCTAGGTCGTATATGACCTTCAAAGTAATTAGCTTCAAGGGGCTTTCGGGCCTTGTACATTGTCATCAAAACCATACCTCAACAGAACTCGTAGATCCATCAACAGTATAGACTGTCTTCTCAATCCACAGATTGGCCACGCGCTGGTGAGCATCAATGACAGTCCGAGTGACATTCTGCTTGACATCTGTCATGGTGTTCAAATCCATGGCCATCTGCGCCTCATATTCCGCATTCGTGACCTGGGGCTTGAAGAACTGCGGGTACTTTCTGACGAAAGATAGTGGACGATACTCCTTCACGCAGTTGGAGGAGAGTTTGGAGGAGAGCAAAGAGACATCTTTATTTTTGACCGCGGCAGTGTTGTTCTCAACGAAGGCTGTGACAGTCTCCTGGATGACGTCTCGAAGCGAGTCCATTGCTGCTGTTTGTGTCTGCACTGATGATATAGCGATTCAACCACACAATGTTATGATCAAGATGGAACACTTCAATGTTGATTGCCGGAATCTGAAGCTGGGGTTGACCAACACATAACGTACCCGGCCCACATTCCGACTGCCCCCTGATTCCGACCGCCTTTTCCACACAAACTCCTCCTTTTCTACCCCGCCTTATAGAGTCCGAATAAAATTTTATAACCCTAACCCTAGATCCAGAAAATAGTATTTAAACTATCGGTTGGCTTGCTTATATATGTAAGAAGAAGTGGTTAATAGTAGGTTGTATTAGAGTTAGTTAAAGGTTTACCTAGTAGGTGTAGAAGCACTTATTTAGGTTAGCTAGACCTCGCTAACTAAGCTAGTAGTCTATATATATATATAAACTTATTAGCCTTATAATAACTAATTTCCCTCCTAAGTATAAAGTTAAAAGATTTATAATTATAAAATTTTAATTAATTTTTATTTAATTATTTTATTATATTATAATTTAATTTAATTTAATTTAAGTTTCTTTTTAAGTTTTTTTAACTTTATTACTTTTAAAAAAATTAAAGTTTTATATTTTTAATTTTAAGTTTAAAATTCTTATAAATCTTAATATACTTTAAATTAAGTTTATAATTTCTTAATTTTTAAAAATATATTAATTATTTTAAATATTAATAACTTTTTAAAAATAAAGATTTACTTTTATATAATTATAAATTTAATTATTAATAGTTATTTCTTCTTTTATTTATAATAAAAATATTAAAACTATAAACTTAAAATAATAATAAAGTATAATTACTTTATTTAAAAGTTATCTTTTAATTTAAAGTATAGTAGGTTAAGTAATTACTTTTAAATAGTTTTATTTATAAAGTTAATAACCTTTTAAATTTATTAAATAAATATTTATTTAAGTAGAGTTAGAACTTTAATTAAAGGAATAATAACTTTTATTTTTATTTATTTTAATTAATTTATACTTTAATTATATAATAAATTTAATACTTATATATAATACTTATTAATATTAAATTAAATAGCTTATAATTTATAATAACTTTAACTTTTAATAAGTTAATAATACTAACTTAAACTAATTAAATATAGTTTAATATATTAATATAAAAAGTATCTTTTAATAATAAATAGTATTATAAATATAAATTATAAAGTTATTATAAAAGTTTTATATAATAAACTTAATTAAATTAATCTTTAAAAGATATATTATATTTTATTTTTAAAGTTTATAACTATTTATTTTTAATTTAATAGTAGAATTAAAAATATAAATAGTTTATAATAATTAATTTATTATAACTTACTATTTTTATATTAATAACTTTTAATTTTTAAAATTAATATTTAAATTATTTCTTTCTTTTAATTAATTAAAGAGTTTTATTTATTAATAAAATAATTTCTAATTAAATTACTTAAAATTCTATTAAATATATATTTATAATTTATTTAATTTAAATAGTTTAAAACACTTTAAATTAATATTTTATAAATTATTTAAATTACTTAAATTTAAATTACTTAAATAAATAAAATTAAATATATATTATAAATTTATTAATTATTTATTAAGTTATTATTAAATAGTATTAACTATTTAATAATTTAATAATTAATTAATTTATTAATTAATTAATACTTTTAATAATTTTTTATTTATAATTTAATTAATATAATTAATATAATTTCTTTTAATAAATATATTATTATTTTATTTATATAAGTTATTATTTATTTTATTAATTTTATTTTATTTAAAATTTTATTTTCTTTTAATTAAAATTTTTATTAATTATATAAGTAATTATAATATTCTTTTATTATTTAAATAAAATATTTAAATAAAAATAAATAAAGTTTTAAATAATAGTTTAATATTAATATAAATATTATTAAAATAAAAGTTATTATAAAATCTTTAAAAGATTTTAATTTACTTTACTTAAAACGATTATTTTAATATTTAAATATTTTATAAAATTATTAAAAGTAATAATTAAAGTTATTAATAAATTATTAAACTTTTTATTATTAATTTTAATAATTATATATTTTTTATAATGAATATTAATATACTTTTTAACTTATTTTTAATTTAAACTTTTTTTTATTAAAGTAATATAAGTAAAAGTATTAATATATACTTATAATAATTATAAATAATTTTATCTTTAAATAAAAGATTTAAAATTATAATAATTATAATATTAAAGTGTTTTACTTAAGTTATAAAAGAGAGAAAAATAAAGAGAGAGAGAGAAGTCGAGAAAGTATATAAAAGTTACTCACTTACTTACTTAAATAATGTAAAGTAGATTACTAAATAGGTTAACTAAGGGTATTATCATCTATAAGACTTACTTAATAAAGAAATCCTACTTATTCTTCGACCGCTAGAAAGAGAGAGAGTGGTCGGCTTAACGTGCTAGCTTAAGAGAAGCGCACAAGGTTATCATTATTTACACCTAGGTAACCTAGATGACTTCGCCTTCTATAGGCTATAATAGTAAAAGTAATATTATTAATTCATCCCCTAAAAGAACTTAACATTTAAATAACTTAAATAATTTCTATACCTTACTATTAAAAGTTAGTTAGTAACTAATTAATATTAGTTAGCTTACTTATATATATAAGAAGAAGTAGTTAATAGTAAGTTATATTAAAGTTAGTTAAAGGTCTACCTACTAGGTATAGAAGCGCCTAGTTAGGTTAGCTAAACCTCGTTAAATAAGCTAGTAGTCTATATATATATATAGACCTACTAGCCTTATAATAACTAATTTATTATAACTTACTATTTTTATATTAACTTAATTATTATATAAAAGTATTAAATAATTTTATTTCTTACTTAAATATTTTTAAAAAGAATTTTAAAGTTATAAAATTTAAAGATATTAAGAAATATATAAAATTTATATATTAATATTAATATTTTTAATTATAGACTTATTTTAATTATAATTAATTATTAAAATTTAATATAATTCTACTTTTTAAAAATTATAATTAATATTATTATTATTAAAATATAGAAGAGTTTTTATAATAAATATTAATAATATTTTTAACTTTTAAGTTTTTATTTTTTAAATAAAACTTTTAAAAACTTATAAATATATTTATTTTATAAAATTAAAATTATATTAATAAAAGAAGTTTAATAAATAATTATATAATATTTATAATATAAAAATAAAATTTCTTTTATTTTTATTATTAATATTTATTTAATAAAATTTAATATTAACTTAATTATAAACTTTTAATATTTTAAGGTTTTACTTTTAAAAATTTATTTTAAAATATAATAATTAATAAAAGTTATTTCTAAGATTTTATAATATAATAAATATATTAAATTATATTAATTAATAAAAATTGAAGCTATATAAATTTATTTAAAATTTATATTAATATTAAACTATTTTTAAACTTTAAAACTTTAAAATGAATATTATAATAATACGAGCTTATAAACTATTAAAATAACTAATAAAATAAATTAATTATTATAATTTTTTAATTTAATAATTTAATTTATTAATAGTAATTAAGTAAGTTATTTTAAATATTAATATTAAGAATAGATTTTTTAAATATTATTATTAAATATTAGATTTAAAATAATATTTTAAAGGTCCAGGGTTAGGGTTATTAGACTTTATTTAGTCTTGATAGAGGGGATGTAAAAGTGCGATTAGATGGTGGGAATTAGGGGGCTGTCGGAATGTGGGCCGGGTACGTTATAGGAGAGGGGGCGGATTAGATAAGCCAAGGACGCCTGAGGGCTCACTACGGAAGTACTCTACTGTGGTGATGTTGCAAAGTACCACAGTCGCTGCGGCACAGCCTGCAGAGCCGCATGGAATATTGGTTGACTAGCACCAAGGGTCCAAAAGATGGGCTGCCGCGCATCTCATGCGGATTCCGGGTCAGACTTCCTGTTACAGCAAAGATACCAACCCTCTCTCGTGATGCGGCACCAACAATCATTGACCGGTGATAACACGCTGCGGCTCATTGGACCATCACTTTTGCCTTGCAGCTTGTGCCACAGGGGATGGGCTGCGCTTAGTGCCTGGCTGGCGCCGCTGTTTACCACCCTGACTACTGGGATCACCATCCTCAAGTGCTCTGGTGCTGTGCCGCAGCCTACCACGCACACGACCCGAGATCCAACTTGAATGGCTTGGCCGCGGGTTTAGTGTCACCTTCGCAGTGGGACAGTGATCTCACTAATCATTATTGGGGGGAGTCTCCGAGCTTGCATCGAGCTTGCAAGGCGTGTTGGTTCATCAAGTTGCCCACCCACAGCCCCCCGGCGTCCAGCCTGGCGCAATCGAGCCTAAAGCAATCTATCCGAATGTTGCATCGGACCGCACGGTTCCTTCCCACTCCCTGCCGTGTGAGTGGGTAATCGGTTCGGTTTTCCAACAGCTGCATTTGATTGAAGCCGATGCTGCTGTTCGGATTGCCAATCCGCCATGCCGCCGAGTGGGCACGACCGCCTCACCAATGATCCCAGAATAGGATCAATCGTGTCCCTTCCCTCCTCCACCACATGTTGCATCTTTTAATGATGCTCCCCGAGAACCCATCACCAGCCTTGGGGCAGTGTCCAAGTTTCACTCAAGCTGCCGATGACTTAGCCCAGAAAACCCCGTCCCTTGTGAATTCACTGCCCGCATCATTCGGTCTTCGCACTCGGTTGTTTGTATTACCAACCTGAATTCCCACGCGCCACCTATCGGCCTAGTCACACCTTATTCCGAACCTCAACCACAGAATTATATCACAAATTTCCTTCCTTCGATATGTCCACCTCGGGCGATATCACGGTCTCGGTGTATCAGGGGGTGGGCATCACCTTACTGATCCTCGCTGCCGGGTTCGTCGCAACTCGCTGCTTTGTCTCTTTTCAAGGTCCTCAGCACAGGCTGGAAATCGCTGACTGTACGCTGAGTTTTCGTCCAAATTTTGTGAATACACGTGGCTGATCCCTCAAGGGTGCTCAATTGTCGGGTTGTCCTTCTTGATAGCTTCGTACGGAGTCAATCATGTGGTTCTCACAGGTCCGCAAGCCACTCACTTTGGAAGCCTGAAGGCCGTCAAGTCTGACTAGCATGTTGACAGTGACCACCGGCCCCGTGGAATCAATTGATCTATATTACCTTCAAAAGGTTGGTGTCAAACATCCCCCGAGTCACCTACCCTACTAATTATGTTCTTTGTAGATTGCTGTTGTGATTATCATCGTTGCGCCGGGCACATTATGGTTTTCGAAGGCCCCCATCATTTTTCTTTACTTGAAGCTCTTTGGAATCCATCGTTGGCTGCGATATGTTTCGTGGGCTACACTCGTCGTTTCGTTTCTGGTGTACACCGTTGGCCTCATCTACCCCTTGGTTTACTGCCCTGTCAGCCGCAGCAAGGCAACATTCCCGGACTACCAACATTGTGCATCCGCTAACACACTAGCTGGAGTATTTTCCGGCTTCGTCTCGGTTCTTGTTGACCTGACTCTGCTTATTCTGCCAACACCCGTCATTATTGCGTTGGAAATCGACACATACAAGAAGATTGGTCTGGGTCTTACTTTCTTCTCTGCTATACTGTATGAGTACCACCAATACCTATTCATGGACATCTCTAACACTTTCCAGGGGGGTCGTTGCTTCTGTGGCAGCTCTCTATTACAAGTGGTCGGCATTGTATGGAGATGGGACCCATTTGGGAATTGCAATCCTCTGCTTGTAAGTTCAAATTATTTTCATTGACCTTTGTTTAAACGTTCTGTTCATTAATATGTTCTAACCTTGCTTTGCAGCACTATTGAAGGCGCTGTGGCCATCATGGTGGGTTGTGCTCCGGCTTTGAGATCTTTTTGGATTCGCCACATTACCAAGTCAGCTGTGGATGGGACTGAAGGGTCTTCAAACGCCATTCGTCACAAGATTTTGAGCGACAATACCCCTCAGCATACAGGATGGCAGGGCCACGGCAACTTTGGGGATACTGTTTCACAGAGTAACTCGTATATCAGGATGGAGCCTCGCTGAGATATCTGTCCATGCGGCCACCAGCACAACAAAACAAGAGGAGGCGAGTAAAGAAGTTGGCTTTGTGTTGCAAGAGACAACCTGTGGATGATGAAAATTTTGTACTGTATTTCATGCTTTGATTTAAATGCCGGGCATAACAGGTCCTTTAATTGCTCATTCACCTGCGACCAGTTGACCTGCACGTGGTAATGTTGTACGATATGAAAAAGTCCACTTGACCGAGTGTGTTCAGCTACTGAATTGTTGGCATTGAATGACTGTCCTGCATTTCTCCTCATTCTCTGCCTTCAGTTTCATTTTCCAGTCAGACTGCCCATTGGGATGGCCGTTGGCGGAACCATTCTTGATCGATGCCCCTTTTGGTAATGCCGGTGAGGCGAGCCGCATTCCAAGACTGTCAACTGGTGGCATCTTCCCAGTGACGGCCCTCAAACTATGCCCTAGAACCACAGCAATGCTATTCGCCACACAGGGAAAAAGGTAGAATGAACTGGTAGCACCGTGTAATTATGCACCGCATGGCCCAAATCAACCAGTACCACTTCCCTCCGAGTCTGAAGGAATCCGAGGGGGAAATGGCGGCGCTTTCCCAAACATGTAATGCAATTGCGTAATAATGGTAATCTGCGGTGTGATAGGGCAAGGCAACAGGTAGACTACTACTGTCATGAGCAGTTGGTGATCTCGGTTCCCCTACAGATTTCAATCTTGGAACATACCCCCAGCAAGACTGGATGCCACACTAGGGCCCACAAAAGCGGCTGGGTGTGGGTGGGGGCTGAAAAGCTGCACACTGGGCTGACTGGCTGGGAGTGGGGGCGGCTGGAGGCTGCATGGCCTTAGTCCCAACAGCTGTTTTCCAGACGAGGAGTATACTGGAAAGAGACGGCTGTGCTGCCCGGTTTGTCTATGGGTTGACAGCAAGCCTTGGCCTGGGTCCACAGGTGTCACCCTGAGTGCTCAGGGCAGGCGATCGTTGCCGACGAAGCCCCAATCTACAGTGGTAGTTGGGTGGCTCGGTCGGATTACCCGTGGGTTCGCTCTCGCTCCGAGGAACCCACTGCTGGCGCAGTGGGTGCCAAAACCCCCGTACGGCTAAAACCCCTACACACTTAAGAAAAATAAAAT